CCCCAAAACCCCAAAACCCCAAAACCCCGTGATGATTTTTATTGAGGTAAAAATATTAATTCAGCGGAATTTTAATCCAATATTATTAAATGGAGAAATAAAAATAAAAGAACTACTATGGATATGAGCCTCACGAGTATGAAGCAATGGAAAATCTGATTAAAATGTAAACCTCCACATGCAAAGATTATATCTAAGACATGAATAAACAAAGTGAAGTTGGGTTTTATGATATTTTACTTTTCAAGGCAATGCAGCCATATCCTTTGAGAATAGACATGAACAGAATAAGAAGCTAAGGAGATTATGCGAAAAATGCCCCAGATTTAATGAAAAATTTTGTGAAACTACTTAAATACACAACAGTTTAGTAATATATGGAAAAAACTGGATAAAGTACTCCAAAATTTGATATGCATGCTTATAAGAAATAAATAGCAGATTAAAAGCATTCTTTGGACGTAAAGGATGATAAACATAATAAAATTAGAGAGCTCATATAAAAATGAAAAAAGTAACTTGGAATCGCTTTAGAACAAATTAATCATCAATCAGATCAGTTAAATTTAGATTCTCAAAACTCTGCCAAGAATTAAGATCTTAAATTGGGTAATTCAATAAAGGATATTACTAGCCCTTAAAAACGTTCAAATTCTCGAATTGATGAAAAGTAGTAAGGAACTCACAAAAAAACTTACAGTCATAATTATAACTTAACTCCATAACCTACTGATATGGAGCAATACTAGTTTTTTCAATAGCGGAAAAGGAAAAACGTTCAAACTGTTCTGTAAGCTCTTGAAATTTAGGAACCACATATAGTTGATTAAAGCCAACCTCCTCCTTAGAGTGACTTTAGAAACTCTAAGTCTAAATATCATAAGTATTCATTTAGTAACAGTAAATCTAATCTCAACTCAAATTCAATTACTGTAAAACCCTTTAATATGACCTCTACTCGCGTTTCTCAAAGGCAATCTAGATCAAATATCCTTGATTCTCTCTCACCTTCGTAGTCATCAAAGCAATTTTAGTCTATTAACAAACTTAATAAACCTTCCATTAATACTTTAGAGGATCAGAATTATGTAGATACAATTATTTAAGACTGTAAAGTTGCTAGCAACAGCTTAAAGAGTGACTCAAAAAAGCTCCGTACAAAGTTTAAATCTTTTAATAAGCATTATTATGACTACAAACGCCGATTAAACTTTAACATTCAATAGAATAATCAAGCTGAGGAAATCATACCGCCAGACATGATTGCTATTAAGGAATAAAAATTATAACTTGGAGGAATGACCTAAAATAATAAGCAACTTAAAAAGATTGTTCATGAAATCAATGAACTAAAGTAAAAAAGAGTTGAGAAATAAATTAAGACATAGAGATTATCTGTAAACTATAGTAAAAAAGAGATTGAAAATATAATCAACGACAAAGAGTTTATTGATGTTTACAAAGATTTCAATCTACAATATTTGAAGGAATGTGTAGGACTAGAGTAAGAATAGAAAAAGGAAATTAAGAAAAGTGTAAGAGAGTATCACAAGAATTCAGAAAAATAGGCTTTTAAATCATTAAGACGATGAAAAAATATTTTCATAAATTTGACATAAACTTTTTATTTGATTACAAAATATTATAATTATTCATATTAATTTAAAAACCTTTCCTATTTTCAATATTTACTACTACTGGGGTTTTGGGGTTTTGGGG